ATATATTTTGTTGCAAATTTCAATTTGATTCGGATAATTATTCTTGTAAATTCCAAAATATCAGCGGAAAAGAAATGACCTTTTCTGTGATGGGGCCATTAAGATCGTCATGGAAGAGGAAGTGGAAGAAATCATCGATTTTGAGGGCGTGAGGCGCGTCCGTGCTCGCGTCGGGCTGCCGGCGAACGATCCGCTCGACAATCCGCTCCGCGTCGGAGACAGTACAATCCACGTCTCCCTGCTTCTCCACCAGGAAGCGACGGAGTTGATCGGCGGACATCTCAGACCCGCCCCCAACGTATTCCGAGAACGCCGCCTTTACGTCCTCCGGCGGCTCCACCTCTGTGATCTTGAACTTGCGGTTGAAGAAGTTGAACATCTTGTAGTTGTAGCTCCCATGGTCCTGAGAATCTATCTTCTCCTTCTCCGCCATTACGTTTCAAAATCCAAATGTCTGAATTTTTTTTGGATTTGCAGAAGAAGATTGGGATTGAGGAGAGTTAGTGATGAGGCCTTGAAAAGAGGAGTCTTTAAAGCGGGATCTTAAGAACTCAACGTCCCTGGCTCCTGGAGCAAACCGCCAAAATTCTCCGTTTTGCTTCTTCTAATTTTTAATTGAGAAATGTTTAGTGCAGGAAAATAAAATAGGGGCACCTCCCTTAACTGCCGACAACTTTTAATTTTAAAAATAATATAGATATGATATAATATACATGAAAAGTGTATATAATTTTAATTTTTAAAATAAATTAGAATCTTAATATTATATTGTTTTATTTTATTTAATTAATTTAAATTTAAATTTTAAAAATTTATTTTATTAAATATTGATATTTAAATTGAAAAACTAATTATATTATATATAATCAGTTTATAAATCTACATATCAATATTTAATAAATGAATTTTTAAATTTTGAATTGAGATTTTAATTTTAAATATAGATTAGGGCTCTAATCTTTTTAAAAAATCAAATTTGATAGGTATTAATCTTAATATATATTGTGTTATTTCATACATATTTACTTGTTTAATAAATTTAATAATATCATACACTCATATAATTTTTTATACGTATTTCACACTCATTTAATTATTTACTGTATATTTGGTTAAGAGAAATGGAGGAGGTGGAGGCTGAAAATTTTCTTTTATTTGGTTATCAAAAAAAATTGAACAGAAAGGTAGGGTAAAATTTTCTTTTCCTTTATTTTTTCTCTTAATTTGTTAATTTATCTAAATAAATGGAATGGAGGATAGGGAAATTGAAGGGAATAGAGGGATAAAATTTTCATCCTTTTTTAAGGATGGAGTCAGACTTTTAGATAAGGGGGAGAAATCTTAAAATTTTTCTAACTTATGATAAGTTCATATCAATATAATTTACATTAATTTTTAACTATTAATCATGTAGTTTATTAGTAGAATTATATATATTTTTAGTCACAAAACTAGAGTTTGATCTATAATTTTTATGTACAAAAAAAATTATATCAATTTTTATATTAATCACTAGTTTTATGTGTAGATATATTACTCATAACATACATGTCAAATTTTAATTAATTAAATATATTTAATAATTTTTTAATAGTATTTAATTCAATACCTACAAATAAATAATGTAAAATAATAGGAAAAATGTTACTAAGTTGAATTTAGAAAAACTATGAAAAAAATATTTTAAAACTATGTTATTTAAATATACTCTAATTAAAATAAATAGACTAAATTAAGATATTTTTAGGATAAGAGTAAAGACTACATTAACATTTTTTTGTGATACTTTATTAAAACATCTTAATCTCGAAATGTTTTTCACCTTATTTTTGTTGCAACTTTAGTGAATAAATACTAATCTCATATAAAATATAGTTTTTTATATATAATTACAAATATTAAGAAACTTTAAATTAAAATATCAAATCTAACTATTAAATTAATATAATATAAATTATACAAATAATTATAACTAATGTAAAATCTTTTTTTCATTCTCAAATAAAATTATTTATTTTCAGAATTGATTATAAAGAAAGAAATGGTACCTTCACCTAACTCTTAGATATTTTCTTTAAATTCAAAATGGTTGTTGTAATTTAAACATCAAAAACAAATTTATACTAATTAAAAATTGATGCATTATATTAAATATTTTTCAAAAGTTTAGGGGGCAGCTGTGCCGTCTTGTCCCATGATAGCTCCGTTCCTCCTCCTCTACCTTTTCCTCTCTTCGATTCTCTTTAACTTAAATATGTACTTCTCTTTCTTCTCTTTCCTTCGATCTAAATATAGGTAATCATCAATTATAGACCTACAATTTACAATCACACCAACATGGTAACTATAACTGGGTGGTTTTAACTTTTGGATAAGTTAGATATTTGTGACCAAATTAAGTAATTGTAAACAGCAGCAGACTAAGGTATTAGATAAATTTGATCTTTAAAAATGATAAGTGTATTTCATTAAAATTATTTGCAATTAAATTACAACAAAAACTTCTTTGACACTATATAAAAATATACCTGAACATAAAAATTTTGAGATATATTATCAGGTACTATTCTTTTTATCTCAACAATTCTCCTTAGTAAAAAAAAAAAAAAAAATTCACAGTAAAAACCTCATGTATAGCTGGAATTTATCTTTACTACTAAAGCCAATTTAATTGATTTTATTTTTTTAAGGAAGACTTTTTCTTCTTTTTTTTTTCATTTTAGTCCCAAAATAATTTAAGGTTATAATGCCCTTTTCATCGGTTTTATTTTCCGACCTTCTATAAGGTGCAATCGCGCCAGAGTCTGATCGACTTCTCGCCGGAATCCGAAGGAGAGTAGAGATGGTTACGGCGACAAGATCGATCTCCGTGGCCATCTTATGGATAATTGTCATCTTCGGAACCCTCGCTCTTATTCAGGTATTCTTCCTTCTCCACTGTCTCCTGAGAGAAAATGTAATTGAGGTGCCTCTAGTGATCATCTTCCTAATAATTAACGATTCTCTTCCTATTTCAGAATCGTTTAAACGATTCAGACGCTGGGATTTCTCGCGAGGAGCTAAATCAGGTTCCTAATTTTTGTGATGGCGAAACCACCTAATCTAAGCCTGCTTCGAATTGGGTTTGACTTTGTTAATTTATGTACTTCCTTTTTCCAGGTTGAGGATGATTTGGAAAGAGTGACTCATAAAGTTTATTTTGATATTCAAATTGATGGAAAACCTACTGGTATGTTTTTCTCAGGTGGTTTTTTCTTAGTATTGTTGCTGCTCTTGTGTTCTGCATTCTTTTCGTGTCATGTTAATTTTTTTTCCTTCTTCGGATGCATTGCTGCTATGGCTGTAAGAATCTTTGGAAAATTTTAATCCTTATGGATCCTGATGTTGTAAAATCATCTTGAATATTAGAAATGGACAATTGAATTTACTTCCTAGGGATGTATAGAGAGTATCTTTACTATTACTTGCTTAATATTATTAGTTTCTTCCCAACATTTTTACTGGTAGAGAAAAGAATCAGACTTTGCTTTTCCATTACAATTGCCTGGGAGGTTACTTAAATGTATGATATTGTGACCTTGCTTTGTTTTCCTACTTTCAGGTCGCATAGTCATGGGCCTTTTTGGGAAAACTGTTCCTAAAACCGTAGGTACTTTTCCCAATAGACAGCATTTCCTCTGCCTGTGATTCTTTAACTTGTTTAATGTATAGCATGCACTTACTAACCATAGAGTTTCCTTTTGCAGAAAACTTTCGAGCTTTATGCACAGGTAGCCAAGTAACTTTTTCTCTTTTTCTTGTGTTGTGCTCTTGTGGCAATTGTGATACTAATTATATTTCTCAAAGTATATGATCTAACTGTTGGGACCTATTCAGCACCAAGTATGAGACAGGGACCAGAAGAATCAGTTAATGGGGCTAGCAGTAACTAATGCAATACTAGAGTAATAGTCTTTAAGTAGTTGTGGATGACATAAGCTCCTTGTTTTGCATGATTTGAAGTCAATTTTACTTAATGTAGAATTGCTTGTCTTTCTCAAACCCTGGTCACCTCACCTACATCTTGTCCAAAACAGCTAAAATCTCTTACTGGAGCTTTGGGTGCTCAGCTGATGAATTGAAACATGAAATTAATTCACATTTAGTTTGAGTAGGGTGTTTTTTTTTTTTAATGGAAAGAGTAGGGATTATTGATACCTACCAATTCAAATAATTTTTGGAGGTTCTTAGAAAAATGGTTTGTGCACCTTCAAGATTATAAAGAGGTCATAGAAACTCCAACAAACTAAGTTATGTGGATCTAGGAACCATAAATTTCAGTTTCAGATGTGTTGTGTGATATGGAAGGTCTTGTTTTTGGCCTGCATATAATATGCTATGTCAAGTCATACTAGTTCATTTCTGCTGATATTCAAGCATGATAAAGGAACATGTAACATGTAGGAATTGATTGCAACTTGTAATTTTAATTATAAAAGAGGTACAATTGTCTAAATTAGCTAGAGATGCGGTTTCATGGAAGCCTTGATAACACAGCAAAAGAAACTTGTGCTTAAGGAATGATTTCCCTGTCTTGATAACCATCTCATTGCAGGTGAGAAAGGAATTGGAAAAGGTGGTAAAGCTCTTCAATATAAAGGTAGTTCATTCCATAGGATTATTCCCAGCTTTATGATCCAGGGTGGTGATTTTACCCGTGGTGATGGACGAGGTGGAGAGTCAATCTACGGTGAGAAGTTTGCCGATGAGAATTTCAAACTCAAGCACAATGGCCCAGGTAAGTTGCAGTAGTTTTGCACTCAGTATTTCCCCCTTGATGCATCCCATCCAAATTATGTAGTAATCAGTCTTATTTAAATCGTTATCTTTTCCTTGAGGACCTTGACCATTTGAATTCGTTCATCTCTTATAACAGGATTACTGTCAATGGCCAATGCTGGACCAGACACCAATGGATCACAATTCTTCATTACCACCGTGGCAACCAGCTGGTATTATCACTTTTCTCTTTAATCAATAATAATTTCCCAGTCTTGATTACACCACTATGGGCAGAGATTTGAAAGTGTCCAGTGTTAACAAATCATGTTATCGTTGTGGCAACACTTCAAGGTGCCATAGTTGCTATGAAATTACTGAACAATGATGACGGCTTTGAGGCATGTCAATTTGCATCAATGTCCTGATCATGTTATGAAATGCCTATGCCTTTAGCCAACAAACATTGAAATTTTCTTCTCTTGAAAGGTTGGATGGCCGTCATGTTGTATTCGGCAAGGTGCTCGAGGGGATGGATGTTGTCTACAAGATTGAAGCTGAAGGAAGTAAGAGTGGGTTGCCCAAAAGTAAAGTTGTCATTGTGGGTGGTGGAGAAATACCTTTATGATTGAATCCTCTGTATTCACGCTTTTGGCATACAAACTGCAAAATTTACCAAATGTTCCACACTGGTTGCTTTAGTTTATAGGTTTTGTACTACTAATGTAACCGGCAAGTGCCAGATTTAAGCTTATGTAATACGCTAGAATATCATTTCTTAACAGGCACTTTGATCTAAAATCATTTCTTATGTCCATAGTTTTACTTTTGCCATTTTCATTGTTGAAATGATAATTACACCATGTTTTAGGATCAAATAATACATAACTCTTACATACAACACTTACACAATCCTAACATTTCATCTTTCCACTATAAAAGGCTAAAATTTATAATGGAGAATGAATGGCTGTGATTCTCAGTATAAAAGTATGAGAGGATCATATCTCTCATCCACACCTTTATGGCGACAGGATTTTGTGCTATGGATTCCAATTGCCCAGGGGATACACAACCTCCCTACACATCAAAATGAATGCATACCATGGCTTGCTGGTCTATAAATTACACCCAGAGGCTTCTTTTTAGCACTCTGAAGAGATAAGAAAGAAAAACTATATATTACACCAAGAGGATTTTTTTTAGCACTCTGAAAAGATAAGAAAAACTTACAGGGAAATGGATTTCTGTGAACAAGGGAAACACGACGGGAACAAGAATTCTCAAATTTGATCTGGATACTCAAGAACATGAATTAAGATGTCCTTGACAAATTAATGCAATCAAACGTATAACAAGAGGTTAAACTGGAAGAAAACCAATGTTGAGTGCAATGAAGGAAGGTACAATCTGCAGAACTCATGCCAAGTTGTGGCCAAGGCACCTAACATCCCAAGTTAAGATACCAAAAAAATAAAACTTTCTCAAAACCTATATGACTGAAGATTAAAGATAAATAAAGAATCAGCACAGCTTTTCATAGCATTTTCATAGTAACTGAATCAATTTTCCAAAAATTAAATAGTATACCTTAAGTTTCTGAGGAGAGGATATCTACAGACACATCAAAATAACAGTCTAACTTGGATGAAGGTAAAGATATATATATAAATAAAATAAAATAAAATAAAATAACAACAACGACGACGACAACAACAACAACAACAACAACAACTTGCATAGAGTGATATGAATACAATCCTCCAAACTATTTGGCACTTAACATTAGCGATGGTGACCAGGTCAAACAGAAATCCCACAGCATATAAAATCCTTGGCATTTTTCTTCAGAGGAAAGCCATTAAATTCCTCTTATAGCAATTTTTATGAAAAAAAAAAAAAACATAACAAGGGCACACTTTGCGAACTCCTTGAACTGGTATGAAAAAAAAAATAATGCTAAGAATTGAAGCATATCAATCAACAGGCAGTTTGAAGCAACATCCTTTTTCACTACCTTCAGCACATCTTCTCTGGCAGGTAGCAGTACCATGATATCCTTTCAAGAAGTTATAACCCCTCCTTTCTAGCCATAAAAAGTACTCAACATAGAGGGAAAGGGATATAACTTAGCAAATTGAAAATGAAGTACCTTATGTTGTTGAGTTGGAAAGGGATAGTAGCTTGCTCAACATTTCTTGATCTTGTAAAACAGAACAAAAAGGTGTTATAATTCTAATAGCAATACCAATTTCCACATACATCATGAGAGGTATAATTATCTTGTGGGACAAGAACATGATTCATAACTGACAAAAATAAGGTGAACACTAATAAACCAAACTCTCCATATTGAATCCAAAACCCCTTAGTTCTGGACAAACGTTTGAACATTGAGCCTTGTACAGGGGCTCAACACCCTCCAAATCTCATCTCCAACAAATCCTACACTATCATGTTCCTGCAAGCTTTCTAAATGCACTCCAGTCCCACACTTCAAACTCAAAAAGCTCAAATGCACAAATCCTCTAAGAAAATGATCACCAGTGTTCCAGTGCATTCATAATTTGTACCCATTAATCATATACAACCCCAATAATAGGAACTCAACCCACATGTCTCCACATCCACACATCTATAGCAAAATTCCTATTGTCTACTAACTCAATGAAGCATATCTCTGTAGATAGTCAGTATAGGCCTATCTAAATAAATCCTTAGATTCCAATTCACCCTACAAAATCATTAATAACTAAAATAAGAAGAAAACCATTGTAAAAACAGAACACAAATACTTCATTATGTCAACAAGTTCAAGAGGACAATAAGCACCGCCACACGTCCTCTCCTTATGACACAAATCATAACAAAGACAGACCCATGGACAATTAAGCTTAACATCAGTTGTTCAACAGCATCACTCATAGAAAAGACAGAAGCAACTATTCCCAAAGATCCAAGATTAGATCCTTGAAGGATCTAAGCCCTTAATTTATTCTTACACATACTAGTTACTGAATTATAGCAATAAATCATATAATCTACGGCAGCAAAATGCAGAAGCATTACTCTCTTAAATCTGAAAATTCAGCTCTCCCCACTCGTGCTCTTGGCGTCTCCACCTTTGTTGTTGCCTCTCTGATGAAACGCGGTAGAGAAATTGGATGATAAATCAGAGTACATGGAGACAACCTTGGAGATGTTCCCGTTGAGTTCCTGGATGAGAGCGACATTCTTGACCATGTTATCAGGGATCCTAGATTGATGATTTTCGTCCACCTGCTTAATCAAAGCCCTATTCCGGTCCAAAACCGACTGTACCTGCCTGAAATTCTTGTCGAAGTTAGCCCAAACCTCGGAATCTCCTTCCTCCCCGGACTCGGTCAAGGAAACTTGGTGTCGTTTGTGGCTTTTGCTGGAGGCTGCGTTGTCCATGCTCGATTCTGGGGCGGTGAAGGAGGAGCCGAGCGTGGTCATGTGCATGGAAAAAGGGGGTGGTTTGGTGTGTTTTAGGGTGAACCACTGCGGTGGTCAGACATTGTTGCTGTTCTGATTTTTGGTGTTGAAAGATAAAAACGCTGGCCGTATAAATAGATTGGGCCGACTCACTGCCGTGGGGAAGGTGGAAGTGAACTGAGCTGAACGCGCGACTAACGCGCGTGCAATGAAAAAAGGATTTTCCCGTTACCCTATCCAACGGAGACCATCTAAGGCGGTTTTTAGCTAACAAAGTAATGAGGTACCCCGAGGCAGTTTTCCAGGAGGGAGCTGACTCGTTCTAAGAGGAAAAAAAAATGAAGAGTCTAAACTCTACATCGGTTAGAAAAGGGTATTAAAAAAGAGAGAATTATCTTTT